CATTAAGCAGCACTGCAGAATTAACAAAGTATTTTTCTGTAATAATGTTTCCAGGGCATTGTATCCACATATATTCCACTGTAAATTAATTTCTATTTCTGCGTTGTAAATGGCTACAGGTGTAATTACATCCCAGACATTTTTCCATTTTCCTCCTTCATTGTTGCAATACTTTGGCTACACATTACAAGGCAAGAGACAATTAATGTGAAATGCAATACATCTGTGCTTATATTGTGAACCATTATACAGTATACTGCTATATACAGCGATCTATTGATAGTACAGAATTGTTACATTAAGTCATTGTTTTATTCCCATACACCGACTAAATGTACTGAGTAGGTACCATACATTAATACTGTGCTGGTCCACTTATTTTCTAAATTTAACAGGACACTGGTTCAGAGGCCACACATTATCTAAAAAAACAAAAGGTTTAAGTATTATTTCAACTGTCCTTTACATTCTTCTCCTTCAATCTTTTTACCAATTTTTACCAAGTATTATTTCAACTGTCCTTTACATTCTTCTCCTTCAATCTTTTTACCAATTTTATGGTTATGCAATGTAGAGATTTTCTACCATTGTCTCATCAGAACAAAGCTTTCCTATCGCAGCTCTCATCATTACTGCTTACCCAGAATTTCGGGTTACTGTTTTGTTTGGAATATGGAATTTAAATCCATTTTAATGTTCGTTAGAAAATGATAAGCCTTGTAATTTCAAACAATCTTCTTTTTGTGTTGGCCACAAATAGTTTGCAGAGCTACGTTTTTTTTATATGAGCACATTGTAATCCACAGACCTTAAACCGTATTACCCGAGTCAGAACACCAAGATGATAACATACAGTAAGTGCCATGGTGCCTGTACAATTTAAGACGACAAATTCTGAAAAAAAAAAATGCATTTTGAAAAAACTATGTGGAACATAAAACTACAGAAGTCTGTGAGCACATAACATTGTAATGGAAGAATTACCTCCACATTTTTAGCTCCTCCAAAATGATCTTTTTCCATCTGCTGGTTATGCAATTAATGTGAGGATCTTATTAAAATAAATGATTAATAAAGAATAAACATAAACTAAACTGCAAATGAACCCTCAGTACCATTTGGATATTTAATTTAGAACAGCACTTGTGAAAAAAGAAAGCCACTTTGATCTGGTAATTTAGGTAAGGCAAATAATAATCTGCTAATGTGTGCGATTTCCCACTTTTGACACATTACAGCTCTGTCCCCAGGTCACCAAATTTACTTACTTTAAGCATATCATTTATTAAATAATTACAACACATGTTTGTCAGCAGTCATTCAAAAGATGGTAACTAAAGAGGCACTTGTGAATTACAATTCCATTATACAATCTGATCATGTTAATAGTCTTTATTGTTCTAAACAATACATGTCTAAAATTAAAAGGAAAAGAAAAACAAAACCCAATTAGCAGACGGCAATATACGACAAATATTTTTCAAACATGGACCCACAGTATTACTCAAGGGCCAAGGAACAGCCAGTGATTTTTAGAACATCACCACACGGGTCACACAGAAATGAATTATAATCAAATAACACCATGAGATGCGTGGCCTTGCTTTTCTCCTTCTCAGATGAATGGTAAGAGTGATATCAATGCTAACCTTGACCCTGCACAACATTCTGCTGTAGAGTCTGAAGCACAGGCTATGCTTTAGAATAAAGGTACAATTCTTTAATTCTGTAGAAAAGTAACAATGGATTAGTTATTCATTTAGGAGAGGATCTAGAATATTACTGATGGATTTCAACACACATCTGCCCATAAGAAAATATCTAACAAAACTCAAAATAAATGCCACATTGCAGAATGAATTCCACTGCCAGGACTTACAGCATTTTAGCCTATATAGAAATGTTGCATTGGATAGTGGAACAACTCAACAGTTTTGTTTTTCTAGCATCCCAAGTTTATAAATACTAAATAATCTCTTTTACTGATTACTTTGAAGTGTTCCAACTTATTTCACTGTTGAGATCTAGAGACTATTTCCTTTCTTGCAAGAACATCACATCACATGTCCTTTCAACTGCAAATGGTCTCCAAGCAATAAAAATACAACTAGGTTACTTTCAGGTATCAATGGTGAAATGGTTTCAAATGACTAATGTTAAAGAAATGAAGAAACTAAAAGCATCTGTGGAATCTGGATTGTCAAAAAATAAAATTCTGGTTGAATCACCTCTATCAAATTTTCGTTTTGTTTAGAATAGCATAAACAATTCATGAAATCTAATCATAGCTTGCTCCACACTTTTAACTGAAAGCACGGGTGGTCCTTGTTTTATTAAAAGTAGGAATTCTTATCATTCAATTCAGTTTTCACTCTAAAAATAATTAAGCAGCATAAAGAAGTACAAATACTACTACTCAAACCAAGATTTCAACCAAGGACAATAACAAAAAAAAGTGTTCGGTACCATTGGGTTTTATTTGAGAAGTATAAGAGAAGCATGCCTTGATACCTCAGATGTCTTCTCTATTACTTTGGTACAGAATCTCTAATCACCTATAATGTATTTTTATACACTGGTAAAGAACTCCATTTGCTAATTAACTTGGTTCATCATTTCGACCGCCACACCACCACAGAAGGGAATGAGGAACGTGCACTTTTCAAAGACATCTGACATCTTCCATGCTGTGAGTCTCATGGTACGCATAGGAGAATTAGCATTGTTTAGAAGAGTGACACAGCTCTCAATGACAACACGACAAGTTCAAAAAGGCCTGGATTTCACACGAGGTGCAGGTGTTGTTTTTGCACAGAAAGATGAGGATACTTGTGCCAACTCAGGCCCACCCAGCCCCAATGTCAATTGGCCAGTTTTATGCGGCTGCTAGAGGAATCCCTATCAAAGTTCACTGTTCATATCACCAAGAGCTGAAGCATGCAGTGCCAGGATGTAGAACTTATTAATATAGCCACTCATGTATCTGTTTATTTAGTTCCTTCAACTAATGTCAGACTAGCAATGAGTGTTGGAAAATGTTGTGAACTGAACGAACGGAATTTCAACCAGCCAACTTGATCTATTTTCTTGCTTAATGGTTTAACAACATAACATTGCCAGACTTTACACGGCAACAGAAGCACAGTACAACCTTGACATAAAGCTTGCGAATAATGGTTGAAAATGGGATATGTCGTTTAATAACCCTAAAAGTCAAATTAAAAATAGTTTTGTCAAATGAAGAAGTATATTCAACTACAGACTTGAAAACAGCCAAAGTAAGCAGATTTGGCACAGTATTATTACCGCCTTTCTTACTACTGCTACACAGCTAAAATGACAGAAGCTGGCTCAGCATCTTGTACTTTCCTCTATTGACAGTACAATGCTCTCTTCCTATAAGTACGGTGGTGACAAATTTTTATCAAGAATAAAAAAAAAGTCTGTCAACGCTAGCACGTTTGATAAAACCGATGAAAACTATTTACCATCATAATATCTAATGGGTTTTCATCTTCTTTAAGGGCAATCACTTCTGATTTCAATTGTTTTACAAAGCACCATTAGCTTCCTGTGCTACACACATTGCAGGTATACTTGCTGAAGGATGATAAATGTCTGAAATGACAAAAACCTTTTCTCAAGCGAGAACCAATTTAGGACAACTGACAAATGCACTCCTCAGAACAGAACAACTCATAAACTCCTGGAACAAGACCTTCCAACATAGAAAGCTAAAACAAATGCTCAGATCACACACCCCCTTGCAGTCACATTTAAGCCACGTGTGGATCATCAATGCCAGCATTTCCCAGTCCTAGTCCTGGGGATACACTCAGCCCAAGCTTTGCTTTTCTCCAAGTTCTGATTGGAATATTTTGGGAAAAAAAGGTTGCCTGTAGAATGGTGGCACACAATGAATGATACCTGCAGCCAATTTTGCTACATAAATCCTTTGGATGTAAATGAAACGTAAAGCAGTGAAGATTTGAAAATAAATGGTTATTTGTTGGTTGGATCAAAAAATCCTACACCATCCGTATACCCCCAGGGCTAGGATGAGAAAATACTGCTGTAATGCCAAATCATTCATCACCTGCAGCTCATTTAGTCAGGACACGGAAAGCTCAGAAAGAGAAGGATGTGGAACTAAATCTACAGTACTTTCCAAGTGCTGGGGAAAAGTCTAAATATTCTTTTTCAGGATCTTGCACACTTTAGGGTTTCTTTCACAGCCTCAAAATCTTTCATCTACCACAAATCCATAATCCTTTCCTCATCGTATAATCTGATGCACTGTGTTGCCGGGTACTTTCTGCAATGTGTGCTGTAGCACAGCTGCATTTATTGAGCCCAAAATAGACAATTACTCAGAGCTTGCTGCAGATGGTGAAGTTGGACTGATGGATCTTGATGGATCTCTACTTGTGCCTTCTCATCACTAAACCACATTAAAATAATCCTGGCCATTTTAATGCTGCACCATTAAGTAGAATCCTTATGATGTTTCATCTTCCTTGCCCTAGAGAGCATTTATAACTTGTCATTTTAAACTTCTCTCTAGTGTGCACAAATAAAACAAAAGTTCCCAGGTCCCACTGTATGCCAAAATGACATTACACACACTGCTTGTGAACAGTTCATCAAAACTTCCCAGGGAGTAACTTACCCAATGTCTTGCAATCAGTCACAGCATGATGATTACCATAACGACCATATTTTAAAAGCATTCCATATACAAAACTACTAAGACACAATACCTAAATCAATTTTCACTTTCATGAACCTTAAAGATGAATTTCTCCTTAAAACACTGAAGCATTTTAGTCAAGATTTTTAGCTCTCCCTAGGTTATGACCAGCATACATTTGCAAGAGATGAAACTACAGGATATACTCCAATTCAAACAGAGTTTCACAAGATTTAGCAGTTCTAAACAAAATATGATTTTCTAGAGAAACAACCAACAATACTCAAGATTGCATAAAAAGCATACTTACTCTTCATCTTTTGTCTTCACATATGATTTGCAGCGCAAAGACTGTACAGCACTTTCTGAAATTCCGTTTTTGTGCTCTACATTTCGCTCTGTACCGGTAACGACCTGCTTGGGGCTCTTCCATGTATCAATCTTACTGCTGTCAAGGTCCTTGTCTCCTCCACTCTCAAGTAACCCTGAAGGATCCCCATCCTCACTCAGAGAAACAGTAAGATCACTGTCTGTATCTGCAGTCTCATTTTCCAGCCTTTCCATATTAATGGCTGCATTAGGGACAGGATTTTGGGGACCATTTTCCAGATCTGAAAAATGACAATAATGTTAAAAGTAAGGAATACGGACACCCACATATAGATTAAATAAAATCCTGAGGTGCAGAAAAGATCATTTAAAAAAAGTACATATAAAAAAAAATAAAAAAACGAAAATACATACCAACATTATTATGATTTACTTTTCCAGATTCAGTTTTATGCAAATCCACATGAGGAACACATCTGCCAGATTCATGATGACTTTTCTTCATGATGTCAGTGCTTAAATCACTATTTCTTGAAAACGGAGAATTACTTTCCCTTTGTCCGACACTAGTTTGGGATGGCACTCTTTTGTCAGGTGCATTTACAATAACATGTGATGCCATATGTTCAAGATTTGGTGAAGAAACTGGACCTAGAATGCTGCCTGAAGCAGATGGAACACTGTTTTCATTTTTTATAGGTACACTTCTATTAGTGTTGAAATTCCGGGAACTGCGTACTTCATCTGACAAACCTGTAAAGCATTCTGCTCCTTTTGCTGTAACATTGGCCTTGCATGAAAGTTTACAATCTAACTCTTGCAAAGAAAGCGGATACTGATTAGATATGCAATCTGCAGGTTGAAGGGATGGCTTCATTGGTGACATTTCACCGTTAAAAACTCTTGAGGTTTGGCGGCCCATAAAGATAGTAGCAGGCTGGTGTAGTCCTTGAGCAAGGTGTAAAGTGGCATTATTGTGCATCGATCCTGGTAACATCTTTGCCTAGAACGAGATCAATTGTGAAGCCCATTAAAAATATGGAAGACTTACACCTACTGTATTAGCTAGTCCTCAGTTGCAGAATTGTTAATCAGCTGCAGACCACGAACAGTGCTCTTTTGCACTGCCCTTTTGGCTATAAAGTATTACGTTTATTTTTTAATATATATGGCAAGACATATAAAACCTGCATTACATTATACATAAAGGTATCAATGGGTACTAAGACTATGATACCGCAGTACTGGTCACCTAACAAAACCTATAAGTATAGTGATATATCGTTGTGGATCTAAAAAAATGTACAAATCACATTCAAAAACATACTACAAAAGACTATAAATACCAAAATCATGCACCGGGCCTTAAGATTATGTCCTGTAGTAAATTTATTTTTAATTAAGTGCATTTTAAATCTTTTGTCACTCTTTCCCTCACAATTATATTTGCATGAGTGCCGTTATTTCCTCCTCCTGCCTTACACATACATAACATCAACTGAAATCATACACTCACAATTCAACACTACAATATTTGAAAGTGATAGTTTGCTGTTAAATGATATCAAACCACAGTTTATGTGGGTCAAGGTTAAATTTCTTTTTAAAACTGCTTTAGAAAAATGTTACAAGATCAATGTTTTAACTTTTAATCTTATTAACAATCCTTTACGAAAGTTGTGATTTATGTCTGGTATGGCACCAAGGGGGCAAAAGCTAAAATCTTCTTCCCAACATAATAACAAAAAGCATTGCTTCTGTTTCTTTTCTGATAAGAGTCTTAAATACCAAACAGTTAGCTGCTTAATAACATTCACTGTAAACCATGCAGTCTGCCCAGCAGATCCACAAAGTAGGTAAAAGGAGGAAAAGTTAATTTCTTGGCTGAGTGATTCCATCGGTAGCTGCAGGGCAAAGTAGAAAGTGTTTCACTAAAGTAGCAATTGATTCTTCTATCAATCTGCGGCACGCGCGTGCTCTTCCAAGGAATGTATTAAATATGAAAATCATATCCCGTTATCATCTGTTTCCAGCTTTCAGCCCGGTAAGCTTTTCTTAATGAATGCTGCAGCCTAAGGGACATGCACACTGCCAGCAATGGCTTGTATGCATAATGGAGTGATGGTACCATTTTGCTCATTACAATATCTGCAAGCTGAGGGGGGTTTGCACATAGTCACAAGTGACTGCTCTAGACAGCATGCTCCAAGTTATTATGAGATGTCTTAGACATTTCATCTAAAAGAGCTTTAACTGCTTTAAGTGAAGGAATAAGCAGCTATGGGCTTGAACTACATCATTTATACAGACACACCAGCAGGGATTAGACACCTGCATTATTACAGATACACCGCTAAATATATACCATATTACAGATTTCTTTGTATGATGACTACTTTTGTTTATTGTCAAAAGGCTGAAAACACCGACATTGCTACTGGGCCAAAATATTTTTTTCCTTCTTGAATATCAAAGATTAAATTCAGAGTTTTTTCACATAAAACACGAATAACATGTATGAACAGATTTTTCTGTAGTTCCTTTAACATATCCTGAATATGGGTTTTAGCATAAAATAAACTTAGTCTTTAAGCAAGCTATAATTACAATAAATGCAATGAGTTTTTGTAAAAACAGACCACTACTGCAGAAATAACTGTGAAATATGTTATAGATGAAAATGAATTAGAGTGGGTGAACTACAATTCAATAAATTGTAGTCTGTTTTTTCAGGGGTTGAGGTTGGGAACGGCTTCTTGTGGATATCAGTCTCAAACCATGTAGAGGCAAACAACATTTATGAATATCAGCTCAAATTTAAACATTGGTTTGGGTTGCCCAATATCCTATGAGTAAGAATTACAGGTCCTACAGTCATTTAGTGGAAATGTTCTCATTTGCCTTTTTCCCCATTGTGGAAAAATAAATGTAAAACTGGGCAATCAGTACTTAAACATTTCAGACGTTACTATGCCTTCGTAACGTATGTACTGTACAACAGAAGGTCTCTGGCAAATATTTACATTATGTATGTGATGTTGCAACACTAAATCAAAGAAACCTGGTACTATTTTGTGCCTTTTACTACAAAACACAGATAACAATTCCAGTGCCTTAGACACTTTAATTGCTTTATATAAGAGCTACAACGTCCACAACTGTAGTATAATGATTAGAGGACACATTAAAATAATTAGTCTATATCTATAATGGTTGTCCCACGCTATGCTCCATTTTTCTTTAAGCCTTTTTTAAAAATACATCAACGGATCAAAGGACGTTACCGTGACATCAGCTACACAAGTCTCTCAGATTGTTTTCTTTAAAAAATACATCAGTCCGTCAGCATTTTCTAAAGTGTGATAATTTGTAAGTTAACCCTGTCAAGCTTAGTGATCTTTATTTTAAAGCATACAAGCTTGACATCATACTAAAAGAAATGTAGATATTAACACATTCACATAAGGCTTACAGACATTAATGCATATGTGATTGTATTGGTCTATCATTCTTACATTTTAGGTACTAAAACTGTAAATAATTTTCACTAAACGTGAGCACTAATCTATATCCTTGTCAGACAAATAATCTCTTAACTGGAGACTTTATTAAGCATTCCAATTATTGATTTGTAATGCACAACAACATATTGACAATTAACATACTGACAATTGCTGTTTTCGAAATTGCCCCTTCACACTCCTGTTTGTCATTGATGTTCCCCGAGTCATTGATGGGACTGGCATCCTGGCCCATTCCTTACGCTTCCCATACCAGGGGAAAGAGCATTTCTGATAAAGGATGGATGAGTTATCAGCTGTTATCTGTATCACCTCTCGCTTTTCAACCGTCAGTCTCCTAAAGAATCACAGTTATCATGCAGACACGGCCATAGCAATTGTAAAATGACATGCAAACCTTTACCTCCAGCACCAAACCACAGTTTTATTCCAGGGTTTAAAATCTGCTAGTATTCATATCAAGTTCAGATTAAAACTGTTTAAAACAATTTTTTAATTTATTTTTGCAAATGGGAAAATATCAAAATTAATGCTAAGAAAATTACCTATATTTAAATATTTTACTCATATAATTCTAGTTTCACATAGGGGATAAATTATCGATGTGCAAGAGGCTGGCGTTACTAATGTTCTTAAATTAGGACGAATACACCGTAGTCTATGTGATGGCTTTTCTTAGATTATGTTAATTATGGATGAGACCTAGTAGTAATGTTTTAAATAAAAACACGTCTTTGAGAGAATAATAATCTTTTTTAAAAAAACTAAAATTATAAACCATTTTAATGTTACTTGGTAATTTATGGAAACATTATAATGATTCCAAAAGACAGAAGAAAAGGAACAATGTATATTTAGTCAATCGGGAAAAGAAAGCTGCATAATTATGGTGGCACTATAGACTTACTGTAGCATGACAACAGTATAAAAACCTGAAGATTTACTACAATGGAGTACAACCAAAACTATGTTTCAAATAAATCAAATCTGTTCAGACAAAACAGATAAAGATGCCATGCAAAACAACCACATAGTATAACCACCTATGTGAATATTCCCTATGTCTTCTAATAGTTAGGAAGAAAATTTGTTTCCACAGGTGTTAATGGAGGGATTGCATCCAAGAAACTAATCTTAATAGTGAAATTTAGTATCACAGTTAATTTAAACATTTTAGCTTCTCGGCAGTGACAATTAATCTGGAGAACTGCTGGCGAGCATCACAGTTTTACATCCTAGTGTTTACAGTTGATTGTGAAACACAGGGCTGGGGAAGACACCACTGGGAATGTCTCAGTGTTTTGTGTAGAATAAGGATGAAAGAACTATCTGTGTATGTGAAAATACAACAACACCATGGAATTCAAACAGGAAGTTATATTTTGAAAAGAGCTTAATGTTCTGATGTGACAATGATCCAAAATACTGAAAATATAGATGAATAAGGCATGTTGAAATAATAGATTGTAGCAACCCAAACACCTGTAGTGCAGTATACCTTATGTACAAACTGTACTCACAATGTTAATCAGGACCAATGAGCTGTGCAGCAGCAGTGCTATAACCACTATGCGACGACTATGCCTGTAGCTTTACATTATAGTGTACTGTATATGGAACAACAAATCGCTTCTGGCAGATATATTTTATTTTGAGAGTGATTTAGGAAATATGATCACTAATTTGGAACAAGTAATAGGTTTATTCCATGGTGAAAAAAGAAGAAAGAACACAACGTTTCGGCCGTGGAGCCTTCTTCAGGTGTGGGGTGTTCTTCACACACCTGAAGAAGGCTCCACGGGCAAAACGTTGTGTTCTCTTCCTTCTTTTTTTTCACCATGGAATAAACCTATTACTTGTTCCTTTGCAGCCTATGCATGCTGATGCAGCTCTCCACCTGATCACTAATATACTGTCCAATCATGATTTCACAACTAAAACACCAAAAATAAGGTTGTTACATATATAATACACTCAAATATCCTCTTAAAACACCACAGTTAATACTTTCAATGTGATTAATACTTACACAAAACACTACAATCTAAATAAAGGCCTATATGTCTGAAGAGTCGCAACTCATCAGCATCTATGTGGCAGACCTGAAACACATCAGACTAAAAGACAATTATATACAATATTTAACCAGATAAGTAAATTGAGAACAATTTCTCATTTAAAATACTATTACCATTTTTTTCAAAATTAATATTTTTCATTCTGTGAATGTCACACAATGAATCACTTTAGTACCTTATTTGTGATTTCCTCTTCTTGTAAATTTTCCTTCTCATTTTTCCATAATGCCAGTAATTTCGCAATCTGATTGCCACATTCCACCTGTTACATTAAAGAATAATTACAAATCACTTGAACATAAGTGAATCTGTTTCAAAGTTCTACATCACATTTTCAGATCATTTGGGAATATGAATATTTAGGTCTTCTGACATTCAAAATACTGTATTTTCAGTTAAGCTACAAAGAAGGAAACTACGTCAAAACTGTGAAGCAAAACAAATCAAGGCATAGCAAACCTTAATAATGTTTTCTTGAGAATGTGAGACTTACATATCTTAAGAGACCATTTAACCTTACTGTATTCTGCAAATGAAAGTACAAGAAAATGACAGTTCACTGCATCTTGCAAGCCAGAAAACATAATTCATATTTTAATCATTAAGCCCACATATTATGTATGGATGTCAAAATTATTTAAACACTCTGTAGAATGGTTCTGTAAACAATAGGTTATTTATGTAATGGGTGTAATTTTAAAGAAGACTTCAATCAGGAATGTAGCAATATAAAATAACACAGTATTTATCATATTTATTCAGTAATAATTCTATTTTTATCTGTTCTACCATTATAAAAATGGGCCATTGGTCACAGAGATTAAGTGTCAACAAAGATTTTTTTTCCCCCAATGTTAAACACTTCATTCTAATGCTGATGTAACAGCATTACTTCGAATTAATCAATTAAATGTTTTGCCAGAAGGAGTTTTTGCTAATCCTTAATCCTAACAAATAGTAAAATAAAAATAACAGGGTTAAGGGGCAGTCAGATATCTGAAACATTTTTTTTCTTAGACAATACTCTTTTGTCATTGCTTGCTTTAAGCAGTTATTTCATTATTTATATCAGATTTCATCTTCATCCATATCTGTTTGCTTTCCCACAAAATAATAATATGCAGTATTTTCAATTGCCTTGAATAAGAAAATAAGCTTTAAATTAAATTTCTTCCTGAAAAGAAGAATTTTCAGATTCAAGATATATATTGTACCAGCTGTTATTAAAAATACAAGCCTACACTACAGAATGCATATTATTAAAAGTACAAACACATAGGTTACATGCATTCTTATAAAATTAGATTTTACAGTAGTTATCCTGAATTTAAGAATTTAACTATACTATCTATTTTTCAAATTCAGTATGTCTACTATGTAGACCTTTGCCTCTCACTGTTCAACAAATAACAAATAAAATACTAGAACCTAGACATACTGTGACTTATCACTTGAGAAAAACAAAACATGTAAACTGTTAAAAAAATCATTATGGAAAAAAACTGATGTACCACAGAGCAACTCCTTTGGGAAGAAAGAACATCAGCTCTGTAGCACTTCAATGTGATGTTTCAATATTAGGCAATTAATTTGGAAGGACATAATTAACTAGTTTTGTTAATTTGATATTAAGATTTGGAGCACTGCAATTCATTTTTAAGTGATAATCTGACTCATTTGCTGGATATGATAAGCGTATCAATCATTTTCCTACCTTTGTGTTTTTTATTTGCTGTTGTTGACTAAGTTAATTACATATTTGCCTGCAGTATTGTCATCTAGAGCAGATAATATTCAAGTTTATTTCCTTCAAAAATTAATTCCGCAGCCTGAAGACTTTAAATTGCTAAAATACTCTGTATTACTTTTACAAATAAAAAAAAATATTTTGTGACCCATACCTTCAATAATATTCCAGGTGCAAAGCAGATTAATAGATATCAATAAAGATAATTTCTCATCTTGTTAGGAAGGTAAGCAAGAAGAAATATTTACAGAAGCTTACGTAGACCTACAGTATATCTCTGAATTCTTCTGCAGTGCCCATTTTCCAATTTACTTACAAAATCTGTACATCGTTCCTAAAAAAGAATCGAACAGTGAGCACTTTCAATATATGCTTCATATACTATTCTATTTCAAAGGAAAAGAAAAGGTCAAGCTTTGCATTCCTCTTGATTGCAAAGTTTAGTGCTGTCACACAAAGCCAACAAACCCAAATCCAACTTCTTTATAACCATGACTTTGTATATGTTGACATTAACTTTCTGCCTGGAGTCCATAGTTATAGATTTCAGGAATGTATATTTATTGAGTCAACATCTAATGACATGATCTTTTAAAACGTTAATAAACATCACTGTCCTGTTTAAAGTATTCCTGCAAAAGGAAACAAGGAGTTATTTAATGTTACTAAGGTTTTGCAGAAATATTTTCTCTGCTGTTCAAGCCACATGTAATAGCCACAGATATGTGTACGTTTTTCAGCTTCTGTGTAACACAAAAGCAAATGCTGAATTGGAAATCAGTTTTAAAGCTCACACATGTGGTCAAGAAGGAGAACAAATCAACTTAATTAATTCTGGAAGGACATTATGATGAAAATAAAGTCGACAGTATCCAGAAAGAAACCACAGCCATTTCTTTTCCACCTCCATTAAACTTGAAGCAGCAGAAATATAAAATCCCGCAAAACAGTTTACAATAAGTCCTTGTGGTATGTTTGCCCAAGAAAAAAATGTTTAGAATGGTTCTAAACTTTGCAATGAAACTGTATATAATTTTACAGATTCCAAAAATGGCAGATCAAACAGAAACATTCCCATTGGTAGATTAGAGATAAGGTGTTTTGAAAGCACTTGTGCGCCTAACAACTGTCAGTGACATTATGATATAACTTGCACTTTTATAGAAATCACAAAAAATATTAGCTTTTTTTTCTAAAAATAAATAGTTCTGCTTCTGCCTATATGTGTTCTGCATTTTGTGATGGTTCATTTTTTATCAATAATATACAATAAAACACCACTAGCAAAATCTATATAAATATAAGATTCACCACATTTAAGCACTAAATGAAAGATTATGTTACTCAGATCAGCACCTGTTGACAGCTCACATGACTGAAATTTAAAAATCTATTCTTCAATGTCCAACATACATGAAAATGTGTCCTTACCACTTTGGTACACAAACCTTCAATGGAGCTCATCCACTTTGAAGTTGTAAGCTATTTTTTATTGTAAATTATATTTGTCAATTATTTTTATTGCACCCACCTGATCGTGGAATAAGCAAGTGCGTGTGTTTTGTGTTGTGGCTCATAACTACAAAGCCTGTGATCGCACAAGGGAAAGAAGGAGGCGGTATAGGGAGTGTCCTTAAAAAGAAGGCAGAAATGTAACAGGGGATCTGAGTCCATTCCTCTTTTAACACAGACAACACAGCCCTGTACAGCAGGTTCTGCACTATATCATGTCCCTCACTGACAGCACTGTATGCCTGCAAGTAACGAGCACACCACAGGCATCGCTGCACTCTTGAAACACAAGAGCGCCTCCCTCAGGCGACTGAGTGCCTTTCCCGTTTGAGCCTCTGGGGAGGCCTCTGAAGTTGCATTCTTACAACTCCAAGATGTCATTGCGGTGGAGATTTAAAAACAATCATCTTGTTTTTAATCTTGGGGTTTTTTTGGAGCTGGATTCAAATTTCAATCTATCCACAATCAGAAAACCAGAGAGAACATGCAAATTACACACAGAAGGCACTCTAACCCAGAATCGAACCCGGGACCCAAGAGGTATGAGGTCTAAGAGCTAACCGCCACACTGCCATGGCCCATAGGCATTTACATATCAACAATGCGACACATTCCCACTATAAAGATGAAGATCTACTCTAAAATGTAGATGTTCTGTTTCATTTTCCACAACATAAGACCTGGGTCCCACTGTATATGAAATTAAAATGTTAAACCAAAACATAAAATAAAATTGTTTGCAATGTACATACTGAAGAAGGATTAAATTATCCAATCTACATGCATTAAATGCATTACCTTTTTCTGATATAATGTGCTGTAGTCAGGAACCAGAGTCTTTAGATGCAATTCAATATGCTGAAAATCTTTCAGAAACTGGAGGTTTCTAATCTTAGCTTGGTTTTCTCTTTCACAGATCTCCTTCAGATAGCAGCGCAATTTTGTATTTTTTATCTGGGATCTGAAAAGAAAAGTTAAAAATATTGTAAAGGTAACCCACTAATTAAAGGTGTCTCCTAAAATAATACAATGCATTTTAAGATTATACTGTCCTATAATCGGATACTTTCATATTTACATTTAAATAGTACACTGCAAAGGATAATGAGATCATTGTTTCCCAAACATTTTGATAACATGGCATTCTAGTTTTTTTTATCAGCAAGCCAATCACTTCATAATCACTTCATCCAGTGTCTCTCCTGTTAAATGTGTTTGTTTATACCACAGATTAAAATGCATCTCGTTTTAAAACAAAGGCTTTGGAGTACTCATTCCAAGTGCAATCATATCAACATTTAATGGGATGCAAACAGCAATTTCCAAAAGTTACTGCTCCAATTGTTTTAAAACAAAAGTTGCATAGGTTAAGTGTCATCACAACAACATATGGACACTTTGTTCTGGGGAAAAATGGAGGAGCAAGTTTTGTTGGTGCCTGCTGTGGGGCATATTTATTACACTGGAAACAGAAAATCACCCATAGCTTGAAAAATGTGATTTAATTCAACCACAGAAGAAATTAGCTTTATCCTGCACAGGCACTAATACACATGCAATGTATTTCATTAATTCTGCATAATATGTTCATTAGTTATGAAAATATCTAAACTTGGGCAGTTTTAATATATAATGGTTTCATAGCACAGCAAGAAGGAATGTTTCCTGGTCTAGCTTGTCCTGCACCTTTTAAGTATTAACTAAAATGAAGCTCTAAAGCTCAACACTCTTTACTATATATGTGGGCATAAAGAAGATAGTTAAATGTATGGAATTACACTAAAAAAGGAATACAGACGATATGAGGGGAAAGTCGGTTTCAATTTTACTTTTTTAAACTTGTTACAAAAAGATTGACAGAGATAAAGTGCAAATACATTTTAAACGTAATAAACATACAGTGAACCATACTTCACTATTACAATACTGTAATCAGCAGATTACAATGTGTGAACAACTGTTCCCATGTTTTTTTTTTAAAAAAGCTCAACAAAGCCAAAGGCTGAAGTCACATCTAGATGAAGAAAACCGCTTTGCATACTCACATTCTGTCAGACCTGCAGTAAGTAAACAGCTCTCTTTCCAACTCCAATCTCTTTTTCTCACTGTCAAGGAAGACATCACAAGAGATAAAGCCAAAGCTTCTAACTTCAGAGGTTTTTTTTATAAAAAAAAAAGCTTTCGAATCCAAAGCAAATTAAAATTGAGCACTGTATATTCGAAAAGGTGAACTTTTCCCTCTACTGAAAATGTAACTCGTGATATGACAATCTGCACATTTGTCTCTTAAATTTAAAATGTTTGCTTTGATGGACTGAAGTCACTTAAGTTTGTTTATCTTGGTTTTTGGGACTAGTCAGTTGAAGCATATCGCTTATTCCCATCCTTATTCTGACACCCAAGAGGTCTAAATTAAACTGCACTTTACTGGAATTACAATTCTGTATGCAATATACATTCATGGACTGCATGCTTCCCAAATAGAACAATACAGCAGTAACGTTAAACTGTCTCCTTCATCAGCAAACAGACGCCTGCCTCCCTACCTACTGTATATATTAGACAACAGCATATGTCCTTTCGCTCGATGTGCACCTTAGTGCATTTGGATGTCAAATTTCCAGGAATGTTACAACTAACAGAGATAACTTTACTACCAATAGTATAATTTACTGTACTGGTAAAAATCAATGAGTCTAGAGAAAAGTTGAGTCCTGCTATCGTTACATTTTAATTTCATATCGCATACAGACGAATCGGTTTTTACAACCTTGTAGACTTTCCAATATGATACAAGGAAACAACATATAAAGAAATCCCTTTACAAACGTTTCTGCCCACAAGAGATCGAAGTTTAAACTACTGCAGCTATGTAAAAAAAAACGATTATCGGGGTTTCACACTAGCACAGCGACTAGACCCCCGCTCGTAAAACAATGTCTTCAAAATGTCTGGTAGGACGCGACATTTTTTCTTCTTAAAGTTAAAGTTTAAAAGCCGTTACACACTCGATAATGCGCAGTTTTCCGACCCCCCCAAAAAAAAACCCCTCCGCTGAAGAAACGAGCAGGACCGGAAACCACTTCAATCCAGTCCGAGGTCCCTGCTTCGGCCTGTTCGGTTCAACGGGGAAAGCAGAAAATGGATTTATGCGCCGTGATACTCGGAAATAATAAGCTCCGCCGGCCGGGCTCACCCTTCGTGCAGATTCCGCTGAAGGGCTCCGGTTCTCTCCAGGTACTGTTTCTCGGAAAGGGCCATGCTGCCGACTGGGGCTCCCCGAAGCCGAGCTCGGCGGCGCAGCGCTGTCTTGTTTACCCCGGTTGTCAGAGCACCGACAGTAAACACTCGAGCCATGAGGGAGCTTGAGCCAGCCAGCTGGAGCGGCGTGGCCTTGTCTGTGCTGAGAGAGGTGTTGCTCACCTTGTTTCACAAGAGCAGTTGCTCCCATCTTTCAAGTTATTCATCCAGTGCTGTGCGTTTGATTCTTTTTTGTTTTACTAGAATTATATTATTATTATTATTATCCTGAAACGCCAACGTATCTTTTTTTTAATGTGAGAAATACATGTCACGTTTTGAACTGGATACCATTATCTTTCTTTACAAAATGTTGTAAAAATAGGAAGACAAATTGTTAAGCTTAGGGATAATATCTTACAAGTGGCAGAGATTAACAATGAAGCAACAGAGCCCAATTTAAAGGTTTGTAAAGGATGTTAACGGAAAAATAGATCTACTTATTTTTCTGTACCTCTTACCTGATATTTTACCAAAATAACTTTACTAGTACTTAAAGTAATTGATTACCTATAAGTAGAAATAAAGCCTAAGTATTATATAAATTCTATGCAGTTTTATAAGTTTATGCAAATATAATATGTAATATATAATTGTAGTTTGTCAATGTTTGGAGCACACTGTATTCTGAGGTATCCCACATGTCTGAAATGAGAAATTTGGAAAGGAACAAGTAAAGATTTATTCCATGATGAAAAGAAAAGACACACAACATTTTGGCTGTGGAGCCTTCTTCAGCTGTCACAGTGCAGACTTCATGGTTCTGTCGAGGATGGCAAATTATTTAGGCAGCAAAGCGGATCCAAATCATGATACTCCCACTAACATCCTTAACAGTTGGGATGAGGTTCCTCTGTTGGAAGAGAACATTTGGTTTTCGCCACACAAAACATTTTTTCCTTGTGGCCTACTATTTGAGACAGAAGGCAAAATTCTTTACAGAGAGCACTGGTGTCTTCCTGGCTATCCCTCCACTCCCATTCAGTGTTTTCCTGAAGGCTGAGGCATGAACAGTGACTCTTGCCACAACAAAAGAGGCCTGCAGATCATGAGGCTTACTCTGGGTTGTTTGTGACTTCCTGGGTGATGTTCCAGGTTGCTCTCAGGGAGATCTGGACTTTGAAAAGTTTCCATCTGTAGACTGACAGTGGATGGATAGAGCCCAAAAACGTGTAGGGATAGTTTTGTAACCATCTGCAGATTGATGAACACAAACAACTCTTTGCGGAGGAAACTTTGAAATCTTGCCTGTTCATTTGCAACAAAGCCGCAAAGGTTCGTACCATTATACAGGACAGGGTGGCCCAGACTCAGAACTTGTTACTTTTTACCTAATTATTTAACCACCTGATTCTAAAGCCGGCATCACACTAGAGGCCTCGACATGACAGAGCATGTCAGATATAATGACTGCAGTTGCTGAATCTCCCTGCCTTTTCTGTCCAGGAGGGTGTCAAGTTATACGACTAGGAATCGCAGGGGGTGAGTAATTACACGATTCTCTCACGACTTTTCGTCACGGCTCCTAATGTCGTATATGGCCGTGAAGTACCGCAAGGTCGCCACGTTTTGGCAGCCAATCAGTTCGATTTTATCGCAGCGAGTCTCAGAGAGCCGTAGGGGCTGTTAAGAGCGCTTGCTGGGTGTCACACTACACAACTGACGGCAACGTTGGGGGTGTCACACTACACAACTGACGGCAACGTTGGGGGTGTCACACTACACGACTGACGGCAACGTTGGGGGTGTCACACTACACAACTGACGGTAACAGGCACATGTTGCGACTCTCTACAACTAGCTATGATATTCTTATGATTATGTAAATGAAGGCTTCGAAAATCCTAGTAAAGTTTGTGTAGTGTGACGCTGGCATAAGTAATCCCTTAAATGTGATAAAGCACACTAGGGGTTCACATTATACTTTCATATAACAGTATGTTTGTTTTTTTTTACTTCATATAGCATTGCATCAAAAAAAATTGAATTGCTACACAAAAAATATATTGGGGGTTCACAGGCTTTTTCTCTGCAGTGCAGTGCAGGTCTTTAAGAAAATTGTAGACAGTTTAGCGGGTCTCTAATGGATTTGGCCAATTTCTATACAGACATGAGAAGAAATACAGTATATTGCCCATTGTGGAGCCTGGTCAACTGAGTGAGAAGGCCAAAATAAGCAGATCTAAATTTAAAACCTGAGCTGTACTTCTGCAGTAAACCCTTAAGATAATATAAAACTAGATCATTGGTTGTTTTATATATGAGTTTCTGAATGTTAAAGTCTCTAAATTTTATAGCAAGCTAGTGCAATATGCAGTGGAAAGGAGTTATGCAGAGTCCTTTTTGTTATGTTTCTGATTTTTCTTATTTCTTTGTGTTTTTCAGAGCAGCATTAACCTCTGCTTGTACATTTAGTTTGGTTCACAGTTGCATTCTGACTGACTAGAATGAACCCCAGTGAGTAAGGTATTAGAGTTATCTAATCTCAATTAAATAAAGGCACATATCAGTATTTCAGTGTCAGTCAGGCAGAGCAAGGGTCTTACTCAAGCAATATTATGTAGCGTAAGAAAGATATTTCTAATATGCACTTCAAATGTGGGACCAATTTTTCTAAATTCCATTAAAGGCTTGATTCAGGGACCACCATCAACAGCACTGAAGTCAGCAACTTTGCAAAGCTGATGTTGAGAGTCTGTGAGCATAACTCTGTCTTGCCACCATTTAGCTTAAGAATGTTCTGTTGCATCCATATTTTAATGTCAGGCCACCTGTAAAGTGCAGAAACTACAGCAAATGCATCTAATTTTGTGAGATCGCATAATCTCAGTGTCTTCAGTATAGCAGGGACACCAAATAGACCAAGAGACAACATATAAATGTGCCTTTACTAAATAATAAAGGTCCCAGCACAGAACCCTATGAATCATCCTGAATAAGTGGGACAACATCAAATTTGAAATGGCCACGATTTACAAATTGGCTCCTGGTAGTCAAATACGAGCCAAAGCAATGAAGGAAAGTCACAGTAATCCCTAGGTAATTTTTCTTTCAAGCCAGTAGGATGCTGTGATTGACAGTATCAAAAACTGCACTTAAATCCATAAGAAGAAGGATATTAAGTGACCCAGAGTCAGAAGCCATCATACAAATCATTAACTACCTTAACAAGAATCTGTTTCACTGCTGTGTCTCAGTCTGATATGCTAGTTGATAATGCTATGTCACTAGTATTATCATAATAATTTCTGTAGTTTCAACATCACACTTTCCTTTAAAACAGGGCAAAAACAGAAGTATGCTTTCACCAACATGAAAGGGTTGCAGATGAGCAGTGTACAATCTATCAGTGTATATCTTTGCCAGTTGTTTCTGGAATTGAAAGGAGGAAACGTAGCTAAGGTAAGCAAGCCATAAATAAAATAATTCTCAAATTATTAGTTTCAGATTCTTAAAGATTCGATTTCTTTTCCTCTCCAAACTATTGTATGGGGTCACACTGGAAATGATAGTACCATAAATCTATAATAATGTTTATGTTTCTTTATTAGCCCTATACAATTTCTTGCATTAGGAATTTGTCTTTTTGCATACCCCAGCTTTTCTCCATGGAGACACAGACACACAGACAGGGAGAAGCTTGGGGTCAGAAAGCAGGGTCTGCCATTGTACGGCACTCCTGGAGCAGTTGGTGTTAAGGGCCTTGCTCAGGGGCCCAATGGAGTAGGATTCCTCTGCCGGCCGCGGGATTTGAACTGGCAACTTTCCAGTCACAGGTGCAGATCCTTAGCCACAGAGCCACCGCTCCGCCCCAGGGATCTACAGGAAACTGTACTTTAAAAAATGTGTTTATGGTAATTAAAGTGATGTGCCACAGACCAATGACAATGCGTCAGTTATAATTCATTAAAGGAGGTGAATGGAATTTGTCGTATATGAAAAGTAAGGAGTACAGTGATTGAAGTGCTTGCAGCATACAGTAAGTCACGTGATTAACAAAACAGACTGGTTATGTACAATGTCTGGTTTGAGCTGAGCATATATTATACCAAGTAAGATGAAGTGTCATGTGTACCTAAACCTTACAAACAAAAACACTTTCTCTCTCAACCAGGAAGAAGGAACGACGCAGTAATGGATCACTTGAGTAACAGACTTGATTTCTGTCAGCGCAACTGCTGCAGCTCTGCTCTGCCCCTGTCTGCTCATGGGCTCAGAGCCACGTCTTAGACAACAGTGGACTCCACTACATTCCAAGACCTGTCTAGGTTTCTAGAAATAAACCAAATATTACCGATCCCTGTTAACATCCGCTTATCTACGAGAGAAATTGTTCCTAGATGCTATGATTTAACAATTAGAATACATCTTCTCAGACTAAGAAGAAGGCTGTGTAAAAAAATAGAGAACATAAGGGAAAAGAAAGGGTGACAAGGATATTCACGTTGTTTTGCTGTGTCTCTGGGACATTTCAAGAGCCTACAGGCCTTGATCATGAAGACCGTAACAACATGATATAACATAAAATCAGCCGAATGACCATAACCACGTCATGTGTGGAAACTCCTGTTAATTACTGAAGACAATTCATGGAAAACATCTTGGCAACTGAGTTTCACAATTATTATTTTTACGGACTAGGCAGTATCCGACAACAGAAGAAAGGTTATGATCACAAGGAGGTGGCAAGAAAAATAATCTGGTCTAGTGTTTGACTTGCTATTTTCTGTTTTTCTTTGAGACATGATTGAAGACGTTGTCTTTGGAGGTGCGAGTGTAAGGTATTAAAGAGGTACTGCTTCTCATTTAACACAAAGGCTCCAATGTTAGATTATGAAGTCTGTCTAGCTTGTCATCAGCACTTTGACAAAATGCTCAAGGGAAGTTTACTTGTACCCCTGCAAACCCATCCACAGTTTGCAATTTTCCAAAGATAACATAAGTTGGATAGTGCATGATTAGTTTTTCTTTTCCCCGAATCCAACATTGACAGACATTGACCAACTCCTGAGTATGTTGACCAATGTTTATGGTCCCAATAAGAGTCCTTTGTGCTAGGTTAGTTTAAGTTTGGTGCATGAATGTGACCTAACTTTGACAATTCAAGCTCATTTGGTTGCTACAATAGAAGCAAAATGATTCAAGGAACTCATACAGACATTTTTTTAATGAAGCTACGGTCACCAGGTAACAGCATGGCTGGGTAACTTGTTTTATACTGTTAAAGCCCTTTAGGTAAAGAAGTGCCTCCTGTTCTCAGTTTTAAATGCACTTCCACACATTATAAGTCTGTTTTGAGTGCTTGATTTAGGCCTCTTTGTAGTCATTTTGCAGTAGCTTGATTTTGTTTAGACCAAATAATGAATTAATGAAGGGAACACAATTATACACAATATTCTTACAATAACATTGTACAATTGTAATATAAAATCCCTCCATGTAAAATTTAT